AAAAGATTTTATCACTAATGGTTTGAAAACTATTCAACTAAATTACATTTAAGGAAACATTTTGGGGACTTTAATTGTAAATATTTTAATAGAAATACACAATCTCTTTTTTTTTCTTCTCAGACAGCAATAACAGTGTGTGTAACAATCATTTAAAATGCAGGATTCTACCATCAAGATGTAACATGATCTATTGCAGCGTTATCTGCCCTGTAACACATAATAACTCTGTTGAAAGGACATCAGAAGTCACTACAAACAAGTGTTGGCAGGAAGGTACAAGCATGCAAAATATCCTTCAGTGCAAGAGACTTTTAAAAATTCAGCCAGCCTGTGCTAACCAAATGTTTGCTGTCAAGCCAAGTTTCCATCTTGGCCTCAAAGAAGAGAAACAGAGTAACTCCTGAGTCTCCTTTTTCCCAAGAGCAATGGGAATGGCAAAGCCAAGACCGATCATCCCTGAATTCTTTTATATAGTGTTTCTCCTAACAAGCATTCACCTTGCTTTATTTGAAATGTTTTTGGGGAAACTGCTATATTAGAATAGATATACTTCAAAATGCCTACTTCTACCCCTGCTTCCCTTCTTGGTGTGTTTCCTGCAAGGAATCTTTATTAAAGATCAGCTGGTAGTTCATGTTCTCTCTTCACTGTCCTATCTACTGGCAGCCAAAAAGCAGAATAGAATGAGCTTTTCAAGTCTACATATAAACAGTCCCAACAATCACTTACTTTGACAGGTACAAGTAAATGGACTCAGCTAGTCTAGTGCAAGGGAAAGACTTGATTTTCTTAAAATGTTCACAGCTTAAGAGATTTTGTGGGCATGCTTAGCCCTCATCACGTGTGCGGTTTGCTATAGGCTGCCAGCAAATTAATGCCAATTTGACCACGGAGTAATGTTCCCTTCTGATCCATAGAGCCATCTGTAACCTTTTTTTTTTTAATAATCATGATTCATCTTTCTTTAGTGTTGAAAACAGTTGTGAAGTGATCATGGTTTTCTAAGATTCTGATTGGTTTCTCTCAAAACATCCAGTGCCCTCTCCAATGCTCACTTAGTGCTAAGCACTAAAATTAACTGATGTTAGAAAGGCCAGAAAATGCCAGATCTTGTAAATGTTCTCTAGCCCCACAGTGACTCAGAAATATTTATTGACTGAGTTGAACTTAAATATCACAAGTTCAATGCCACCCCACCAGCCAAGTAATTCTCTGGGTAGAAAGTATATTAGGTCCTGCCTGAGTTGTTTGTACAGCCTCCTATACATAGAACAACAGTCTGGTGGAGTATTTTTTTTTTCATATGCTGTATCTGAAAAGAACAAACCTCAACTATGAGAATGGATAGGACCTTGTAGGGATGGTAATGAAGACATACCCGTGGCCTGTAAGACACAGAATGACTGGACATGGGGTGGGTGTGAGGCCAAGCCTTTTACTATCATTAACTGAACACACAAGAATGAACCGCTTTCATCAGACATCAGGAATCCATGTCATGCAAGTACTATACTAAGATAATATAGTAAATTCAGGAATGTTACTGAGGACAAAGAGAGCCTCAATGTGAATGTAATCACTTAACTTTAAAAAAAAATCCTTTTACTTCAGTACAAGAAGGTAAAATTGTAAGACTCATAGATAGGCCTCAAAGTGATAAGCCATCCACATCTCTTCTTAGTGGGTCTTTTTCTTCTTATGTCCATAGCGCCGCCGACGCTGTTTATAGAGGTGACGGAAATTTATGTACAGCCCTAAAAAAGAAAAGGCGTGATTAAAAAGAAGAATCTTCATCTCTTTATAAGCTAGAAATTTTTGGTTTGGGTCAGTATTTGTGTTTTTCTCATATTCTCCAGCACTAAATTTTCTGGAGCGGCTTAACCTTTAATTACAGACAATTTCTCTTCCCCCTTGGTGGGTTCAATTCATTTCCCCCATATTTTAGTGTTGTTACTGTTAATACACAGTCAAATCAGAACCAACTCCTAGCTGAACCTCCAGCAAAGTTTTCAGAGGCTGTAAATAGGATGGGAAGAAACTGCCCATCTTTCTCCTGAGGAGCCGCTGATGGATTCACACTACTCACCTCTGGACTGGGAGAACAATTCCTTACCCATTGGGCCACCAGAACACCCTTTATTTATAGTAGTGTCAATTAAATATAATAGATGAAAAATTGATGCCTTTGAAATTCTGATGCCAGAATTCCAGGTAATTTGAATATACCATAGACTAGCAAAAAAATTAATTGAACTTGGAGGTAGTGCAACTACCTTAGAGGCAAGGATGTGGAACTTCCATTTTATATACTCTGGGAATGCTGAAAACACAGGATTTTCAGAGGCTGTAAATCACATGGGAAGAGACTGCCAGTCTTTATCCTATGAAGCAGCTGGTGGATTTGAAACACCTGCCTTTCGACTGGCAGTGCAACTCCTTACTATTAAGCCACCAGAGCTCACTAATATTCTTTTTTCTTAATGATTTTTTTAATGCAACATACATATTTTTTACAGCATATTCTTTCCATTTTCTTCCCCATTCCTTCATTGTTGCACATTTTCCTCCCTGACTACCCCTTCCCCAAGCTCCCTAATATTCTATTACAGGAATTTTCATATGCAAAAAGTAGAAAATCATTTTAATACAGGCTCTAAACGAGATGCACTGGTAGCGCAATGGTTTAAATACTGGGTTGCTAGCCTAAAAGTCAGCAGTTCAAATCCAAGAGCAGCTCCCCAGGAGAAGGAGAAGGCAGTCTGCTTCCATAAGCTGTGTAGCCTCAGGAATCCTAGGGAGCAATTCTGTCGAGAAACATTCTCAAGGTGTATCCCCAAAGACCAGCACCACTGGGTATTGCTCAGTCAGAACTGACTCATCAGCACTGGGTACATTCTCAATGGCATTTTATTCTACACTGAGCTTACTACCTATTTATTCATCCCTCTATCCACCTGACTGTCTCTGAACTCTTGCTCCAGAGGAAGAAACACTGAGAATACTCACATGAAGACTATGTTAGCAAAAGCCAGGAGACTCCTGTCAAGAGCCACAAGACGAGGTGAGCTTGGAGCAGATGCTGGGGAAATGCCAGCTCCCACTACCAGCCTGACTGAAAACTCAGAAGAGATGCTGCCCAGAACCACCCAGCAAGTTTGCTTCTTGACCCTCAGAAACTGTGAGATAAAGCATGCTTAATTTGCTAAGTTCCAGGTAATTTGTTAACATGGCAATAGGTAACTAATAAACCATCTCTCGCATTCCCTGTTGCTGAAAAGTCAGCAGTCACTGTAATTTAAGACCATTTGAGGTCTTTTGTGAAAGACAGACATAAATTACACCAAAATGTGTTTGATCTTTATTTAAACAAATAGTCCTTATATTTGGGAAGGCTTTTTAAATCTCTCATATTTGGGAGTGTAGGTTCTATTGATTTAGTTGAAAGTGGAATGTAAACTGTTGGGTCAGTTTTTGTTTGGTTAACAATCGTGTGACAGCTGATTGGTGGCCTGGATTTAGTTAATAATCAGCAGTGGGATTCCTGGAAGCCTCTTGTTTTAAGTCAATCAGGAGGTGGTGGGCACGCCTTTGTATTGGGAAGAATATTCTCGTAAGTGGTACAACACTGGTCTGTCAGTTTGCTGTACTGAGGTAACTAACTTGTGGTTGCTGTGATACTGAACACTGTGACTCTGGTGTGTCAAATGCCATAATGGTTACCAACAGTAGATAGGATATGGTAGAGCTCCCAGATTAACACAGGCTTAGAAGCAGGATTAGCATCCACTTCTTAAAAAAACGACATGCCTTTGGAAACTCTATGAACATTAGAGAAGCAACAAAAGTTATAGAACAGGGTTCAGATCTTTTGTTCATAGGGTTGCTATGAGTAGTACTCGACTCAGCGTCTTTTTTTTTTTTGACTCAGCGTCTCTTAACAACAGCAAAACAGGTATCTCTTATTTTCCCTTCTTTAAGTCCATAAAAGAAAAGTCATAAATAAGCAGGTTTTATATGCAAAGCAGTGGGGCTTTCCCCTGTTAGATAAAGGTCTCTCTGGCGTCTCCTGGCCATGACTGCCATCACCTACAAGTTACCTCTTCTGTAAACCAGATGAGAAATGTGCTAATACAGTTAGTGTAAATATAACAAGTGCCTCATTCTGTTTTAAAAAAGCTCTTACACTATTTTAACCTACCTCTTCTGTAAACCAGATGAGAAATGTGCTAATACAGTTAGTGTAAATATAACAAGTGCCTCATTCTGTTTTAAAAAAGCTCTTACACTATTTTAACCAAGAAACATCCTTGTGGTCCACGCAAATGAACAAGACTACTTTGAAAGATAACACAATAGATTTGGGAAGACATACTTCTACAGCATCTTCTCCTAGTGTGAGTATTTATGCACAGAAATCTTTCTGTAAATGCATACAACTTTTTTGTAAATAAAAATCCCAATAAGAACTTTTCAGAAAATCGTTTACCCAGCAACAATAGCAAAGTACAATGGGGCAGCAAACAACAAAGACTGGTGAGGATGTGGAGAGACTGGAACCCTTACGGCTAGCGGAAATGTAAAATGGTGCAACCACTATGGAAGATAGTCTGATACTTGCCCAAAAAGACAGAAATAGAAATACCGTTTCACCCAGCAATTCCACTACTGGGAATATACCTTAAAGAAACTAGAGCCACAACTCAAACATATGTAAGCACACCCATGTTCACTGCTGTGTTATTCATAATAGCAAAGAAATGGGAGCAACCCAAGTGCCCACCAAAAAACAAATGGATAGAAAAACTATGGTATGTTCGCTTAATGATTATATATACAGAACTGAAAAACAATGAACTTATAAAACATAATACAACATAGGTGAGCATGGAGGACATTATGCTGAGTGAAATATCTCAGTCACAAAAGGACAAACACATAATACCTCTGTTATAAAATAGGATAGACATGGGGGATTGGGGAAAGAATAGGAAAAGAGTGGATCAATAATGAACACTGCATTGGAACAGATGAGAGGAGGAAGGATCTGAAGGAATGCATGATCAGGCATTATGTGTGTAACAACAATCTGGAACAAGAAATGCACTGCAGAATGGACTGACGAAGGAGGAGGAGAGAGGAAAATGTGCAACAATGAATGAACGAAAACCCAGCCTTTCTGTAAACTTTCATTAAAATCACAATAAAAATTAAAAAGGGGGGAAACTACAACCATTTAAATTTACCCTCCCTCAGGAAATGATGAGGTAAAGTTTGTATTAATACTTACCTAAAAATAACATGATAAGATAAATCTGAAGAAAAAAGGAAAATCTAACTTTGATTTTCACTGGATATGGCAATGTGAAACTGAATCGCCCTGTTTCATTGAATACTGGAATGGACTGGATCACTGAGACAGCTAGAAACAAAACAAGAACTTGTTAGAAGAAAATAAAATATGTTTGACACGTAGTGTCAAAACCTTCCAACTCTCAAAGTTTCTGTTTTGGAATTTTTTTAAAAAAGGCTTCATCTTCCTTCATTTTCCCAAGAGATAAGCCTCCAACACGTCAATAAAGGGAGATGAACAAAGTCTAGTCATTTGATCACACAGGACATCAGTTACCTATTCTAGAAAATAGGATTCATACTTTACTTACTCGATGTCTGTGAAAAAAATTTTAAAAAGGAACATGCTTTGGACAATCTAAAATAGGAAGCATACAGTACATGAACATCTAGCTCCCAAACTTTCAAAATTCGCTATTTCCCAGTTACCTATCAAGAAGATCAGGAAATTTTGGAAAAGTCTAAGGCCCCATTTACAGGTTAGGAAGGAGAAGAAAAATAGACTGGAGCTAAGCTACAATATTTAAAAGTTCCAGTGGAACAATGAATGAATGAATGAATGAATGGAAAAACAGAAAATTTAAAAAAAATAAATAAATAAATAAAAGCACCAGAAATTTTTTAAGAAAAAAGCAGAACCAAAAACAAGTTCCAGAACGTACCTTCTGCCAAACAGCCGAGAGGATACAGGGGTATCCACACAGAGTAACGAAGCCATGTGAGCACCTTCCAGTCCATGTCAATGCAGGCAAGCATGTAGAAGGGGTACCTAGTGAAAAGAAGGAATTTAGGTTTTAAAAAAAGCTCTACAGGCTCTGAGGGCAATCCTAGCCACCAATCAAATAGAAGAAGAATCATTATCAATCAGACACTAATGATTTACTCAGAACTGAATGATAATCCTAGGACAGTACCCACAATCTCCCATCATTCTACCCTTCAAATCATTTAAGGATGTGAATTTTCCCTAACAGCTACCTAAGTTTGGGTATCAGAGGAATCCTCTTTAGAATGGTTCGGCTCATGAACCAGGTGCTCTGAAGCTCTCTGGCTTCCCAGGTGAGTAAGGCTACCAGGCACTATCTGTGGACAAATGAATTTTTATCAAAATTAAAAGTATACAAAAGACCACTAATCTAGAATTAGGCATACTCTATTTAAAAAGATAGCGTGTGAAAAGAAATGCTAATGCTTCTTCCCAAACAGTCAGAGTTAACATGAAGGCCCTATAAACTGTTTTCACCTTGGCATGAAGATTGAGTAGAAGGGAGGCTTGGTGCAATGAGATTCACGCCTCTGTCAAGATGCTCTAAGCTGCTTAGTCACCTTCTCACCTGTTAACTTTACCAAAATGCCACTATGCCGAGACCTAACAGGTCCATTTGCAAAATCATTGCTTCAACTGAAATGAAATCTAAAATATGCATAGTTTGTAAGAGGATTACAACTGCTTTAACTCGTACTATTTTTTTAAAGAAAAAAATACTGCTATTGAGAATGGGAGAATCATTAGGATACTGATTCAGACTTCAGTAATTTTGTAGTTGAAGTTCAATTCACCATTTCATTTCTTCTAAAAGGCTGGTCTTGATTCATTCCATTAAACTTGTATTGTTCCTTCAACCACCCGTTCTTCAGCTTTTTCAAGGACTTTTCCATGTGAATGGGGCCTTTCTTTCCAACAAGACAGCTAAATACTGAGGTGCAGGATGGGGCTTCCCTTTTTCTCTGGTTCTCTCCCTCTGCTCCCTATTGCCCAAGGTCCAACGACCAAGGAGTCTTAAAAAATCTGCCTGCCTCAGCTTTGCACAGCAGGTAGCTCCATCTAGAAATTTCCACACATATAACCATTTAACCTTATTCCCAAACCAAAAGAGAGAATGGCTAAAACAACAGCTCTGTTTAGAGAAGCGCTATTACAAAGAGGAAAGGTGCTCAAACACCAGCCTGGCACTTTTACCCACCTGAAAACTTCAATTGTACTCCACAGGTAAAACACAAAGAAAACGACAGCTGTGTTTTGCATTTCTTCCAGTGTGCCAAAGATAATAAACAAAATGAAATTTCTTCCAAGAAGCTATTGAAAGAAGGGAAAAGTATAATAATAAAAAAATTAAAATTATTAATGTGTTATCTGAAATGTCACCTCAACCAAATTCAAGTTAAATGGACAAGATTAAGTTAAACTAGGTTAATTTTGTGCTCTAGTTCTGGAACAAGTTGAAAGTGCCCAAATTACTCTTCAGTTAAGTAGGGACTTTGAGTGTGTGAGGGCATATCACCATAAATATTTTTAAAGTATACCTGTACATTCAAACATGTACAGTTCCAAGAATATTGCCAAATGGGTAGCTGTGTCTCCATAACCTACATTAAGAAACAGAACATCACCAGCGAGACAGTCCCACCAGCAACTATTTCCCTTTGTTAATACCCCTTGTTGTCCTTCATACTTCAGACGTTCATTCTGCCTGTTTTTAAACTTTATGATCACATTCTATATGATTACTCAGTGATGTGCTTCTTATTCGGTATTATGTTCCAGGGATTCATCCCACACTGATGCATATGGTTACAGCACGTTCATTTCCACTACCCTCACATACACAAGTGTATGAACACACACGTAAATTCTTCATGACCATCCAGGTTATTTATTATCTGTTCTTACTATCTCTGTACCTACAGCACAGGGTATCAGCTACTGAATCTTTATAACGTCTCAATTTCTTGTAGGACAAGTCCTCCAACATTAGTTCTTTAAAAGATATTCTTGACCCTTTGTTTTCCATATAAAGTTTTGATTTTTCTTTGTTACATTCCAAAATATCTAAGACTCTGAATGAAACTACAGTTACTCCATGGGTCAATAGAAAAAAACAGCATCATTTCATAAAATGAAATTAATAAAGTCTCCGTATATACATTTATTCTTTGTGTTCTGTAACCTCTCCTGTATCTCAAACCTATCATTACTTCCCTACTATAGGAAGTATTTCTCCTCTAGTGAATGGCTACTAATTTTCTTCATATCACCTTCATTAAATTTAAAAAAAAAATGCCTCTTGTAAAGCAAAGGTCAATAAACTATGTCCCAGAAATCAAGTTGGCCCATTGTCTGTTTAGGTAGTTTTAGTGAAACACACCAAATCTGTTTATACACTGTTAGCAGCTACTTTCATCCTTCAATGGCAGTGCTGGGTAACTGTAATGAAGGCCACCTAACCTTCAAAGCCTGTATATTTTAGTATACATGTTGCTGCTGCTGCTATTATGTGCCATCAAGTCACCTGTGACTCATAGCAACCCAATGTACATTAGCTCTGATATATAATATTTAGTATCTCTTTAAAGAAAAAGATCTACTAATGTCGATCTCTAAGATGACCATTATTTGAAAAACATGAACTTGTTAAAATATTACACAACATGGGGAACCTGGAAGGCTTTATGCTGAGTGAAATATCTCAGTCACAAAAGGACAAATACTGCATGGCACCACTGTTATAAAATAGGGCTGACATGGGAGGTTAGGAGAACAGGAAAAGAGTGGATAGACAGTGAACTCTGCATTGGAGGAATAAGGAGAGGAACTGTCTGAAAGGAATGCATGATTAGGCAGCATATGTATGACAACAATCTGCAACAAGATGTATATTGCAAAGTGGACTAGAGGAGGGAGGAAAATGTGCAACAAGGAATGAAAACCCAATCTTTCTGTAAACCTTTGTTAAAATCACAAAAAATAAAATTACTGTTACTTCCTCTCAGCACACTGAAGATATCTTTCCTCTTTCTTCTGACTTCCTTTATTGATGCTGAAAGTATAGCAGCTTCTCTGAAGGTATGCTGTCTTTACTCTATCAATCCAATGTCTTCTTTGGTACACTATATATATTTCTATGCACGAGAAACATGAAAGTCCTTCCATAGACACATAAACATCTTTAATATATTAATAGTGCAGTTGTAATAAGGTTTTGATCTGTAGCACAAATTAGCACCATTTTCATATGATAGACCATCGTATATTCCACATATTTTTAATATATAATAGGGTTCATAACCACAGGTCGCACATAAGTCAGAGTCATACACTGGACATGTGTAAGATAAGTGTGCAAGTGTATTGGGGATGATGAGGATGGCACAGGGCAGGGCAGGGTTCTGATCTGTGCTCACAGGGTCGCTATGAGACGTAGGCGACTCAATAGCACCTAACAACAACGCGATGAATGCTCATACCTCACAGACTGCCAGTATTTTTTTCTGTATCTGATAATTCTAATATCCTAAGTCACTGAGGATTGGTTTGTATGGACTGCTTTTTCTACTGGCTCTTGTTCACAATCCTTGCCTTCCACAGGCTCTTATCTTTAAATCAAAGTTAATCATTTTCCTTGAAAACTTATCTGTGAGAATTCTTTGAGGGACAGGCAAATGTGGTTTCTTCCACAAAAGATCTAAATTTGCCTCTGTCAGAGTCTAAGAGCAATAGCAGTTGAGGATCATTTTTGACACAATTTCTAACTAGAAAATTTAACCACTCAAGTGTGTGAATTCACTACACAAATCACTGTGTAGGCCTTTAAATACTTCTTTTTTTGCCCCCCTCCTCCATCAAGACCAATTATTTAAGACAGAAAATGTTCCTGAAAGGGAGAGTGGGTGGCCTAGCGGCAAGAAGCTGCACTGAAATCCCAAAGGCACGCAACTGAATCCACAAGATGCTACGTTGGAGGAGGGGCAATCTCCTCCTGTGCCAGTTGGATCTGATTCAACAATACACAACAAGAAAAAGGAGAAAAAGTGGGGAAAAAGGAAAATGTCCCTGGAGACAGCAGTGAGGCTCACATCTGTAAAGCAAAAGAGCTCTGTAGCACTTGCCTGAACAGGACGGAAGCCAGGCTGAGGGCCAGAGAGAGGTGCCTTAGAGAAGAGGTGGCCCTGACAGTACTGTGTCCTTGCAGTGCCTGATCCCATTCACTGGCCTGCAGTTTGGTTCTTGTAGCAAGTCTGTCTAACTCCTACGAGATGATTAGGTAGGTGGTGTGCTAGCGAGGTGTTCTGTGACATACATGGGGATCAGATCGTGTAAATAGTGTCTACAGAATGCTAGCATGAGGACTGGTCAGTTTTGCCATCCCACTAGGCTTATAAGCCATCCCAGAGTCAGAGCAGAGGGAGTCTCACTGCATTGAGAAAAAGGAGCCAGGAGTGTGAGGGTGTCCTATGGATCAGACACCCCAGCACCGGAGCTCCCCTAATCCAGGAGACAGCTGTGGCACTGGAGCAACAGTGAGGCAGGACCAGAGGCAAGAGAACCAAGAGACTGGCATGCAACAAACCTACAGGATTCCAGCTCACAGAGCCGTAAAGCTGAGTGCCTTCCTGCAGGGGATCTTTGGGCATCTATTGGAGAGCCAAGTTAGCCAGATTTGCCAAGCCACGGAGCTATAGCCAAGTACTTTCAGAAAGGAGGCTTACTAGTGCAGTGGCATGGGTTTTTGGCACTCACACCAGCAGAGGGCAAGAGCTCTGTTAACACTTGCCTGAACAGGGCAGGGGCGGGGCTGAGGGCCAGAGAGAGGTGTGCCTTGTGAGAAGACACTGTCCCGACAGTATCCTTAGTATTCCTGCTCCTGAATTGTAACCTGTCACTGCCCTAATAAACCCTGAAAATTGGAAGCATAGTCTGTGAGTACTGTGTGGCCATTACAACAAATCATCAAGCCCCACAGGAAAGGCGAGAGTTGCAGAGAAGTGGAGTGTTGTGGAGAGAAGGATGATGTCAGAATTTCTAAAAAGGCTTGGGAGAGTGGGGACATGTCTGACCTCACAGGAGTCTGACCTCACAGGAGTCGAACCTGGGCCGTCAGTGCTGAATCAGGGATTCCCTCCCCTCTCGCAAAGTTAGAGGAGGTAGGACAGCATCTTCACCCTCATACCTACACATCTGCTGCTGCTGTCTCATCATTCCTCACTAGCTTTTATAGAGGGTAAGGACACATTTATTACTAGGCTATCTTGACTTTTGTGTTCTCTGATTTATGGGGAAGGATCTCTCCTTGAACTCTGACTTCAGTTAAGTTCTGAATTAATTTTTTATTTTGGTCTCCTGTACCTTTCAGTATTAAAAACTCAAAAGTTACACTCACTTGGTTTTGCAAATCCCTTCAAGGCAAAAGTCAATGCCAGTGTTCAGGGTGTCTCTGAAAATTTTCATTTTCATTCCATTTCTGACCTGCTCATTCTTTTTTCCCCACTGTTTTCATCATAAGAGGTCACTCATACTCAAACAAAAACTCATGTGATCAGACAAACAGCTGACCCTCCAGCAGGTTTCCGAGGTTATAAATTGAACTGGAAGAGACCCACCCACCACTCTTCCCTCAGAGCAACTGATGGATTTGAATCGCCAAAGGCTTTACCTCTGGGTTAGAGGCTCATCTTAGGACTAAACCCCCACAGCTCCTGTTATCAGGCCACTTAATCTGCTATATTTCCTGAAACACAACCCTCTGGCCTGATCTTATAAGCCAAGTAAAATATATTTTACCTATTACTCTAGATATTTAATAGGTGTAAAAGCAGAAGATATTTTGGTTTTATCAAATCACTCTGGCTAGATATTGAGGCTTTGACACTTTGCTCTTTCTCAGCTCCTGATTTCTAACCCACCTAAGCTCTGCTCCAGGGGCTATATTCATGCTATACCTGGCCTCCCAGGAGCCAGGCAGTCTGATAATACTGAACCCGCTCAACTTGTCCTACAAATTCGACCTTAATGCTCATTTGTAATAGTCCTTGATATGTAAAGAATATTACTCCACATCAGTGAAACAGCTTCATTTGTAATAGTCCTTAATATGTAAAGAATATTACTCCACATCAGTGAAACAGCTTCATTTGTAATAGTCCTTGATATGTAAAGAATATTACTCCACATCAGTGAAACAGCTTCCTTCCAAAGGCAGAAATAACAAGGTTAGTGTATCAACATCTTTATCTTACTACTGATACTGTTAGAATTCCAAAGTTAGTATACCAAACATGAAGAGAACTATAAAAACAGTATTCCAGAAGAGACTGGCCAGTGTGGGGGAAGGAGGGGGGCAGCGGGGAGACAGACTGTTTGTTATGTGCTGGGTCTCTAACTCAAAGTGTGGATGCAACAGTGGCTCCTCAGGAGAAGGACGAGGCTGTCTGCTCCCAAGGACAATCTCAAAACCCTCAGCATCTTCCTGAGTCAGAAATGACCTGGTGACAATGAGTTCAACTAGGTTTGATTTTGGTTTTGTAATCATATGGGCCAGGTAACAGGACAAGAAGATTGCCTTCTGTGCCCTTTTACTGATAACAATTTTCTAGATACTAGGAAATAACACAGAAAAATTGGAAGGAGTCTCCTTGGGACTCAGAAAGAAAGTCTCAAATAAAAAGAACCAATCCAAACCCACTGTGGCTGAGTCAGTCCCAACTAACAGCAACTTTCCATCAGGTTTCTGAGGCTGTGTATCTTGACAAGAGGAGAATACCCATCCTTCTCCTGTGGAGTGGCTGGTGGGTGAGAACTCTACTGACCTTCTCTTCTTAGCTGCACAGTACACGTGGCACCACACTACTGAAGCTCCTTAAGTGAAAACAGTTTCTAGGCATTTGGCTGCCTTCCTCTTTCCATGGTGGGATGAGGCTCAGTGTATTTTTGCCTGAGGTAATAATGAGGGCAAGTTTTTCTGCTCCTGCCTGAGAATCAAATTTCTCTAGTTTTTAAAACTGTGTGATCTCTTGTTGCTATAAACAATGAAATAGACCTGAAATAGCAGAAATCAACTTAGGATAATAACCCTGAGTGTGAATGCTTTCTTCCTTATTCAGATAAAGCAATGCTAATCCTGTGCAAGCAGATATTCTTACTAACTGAGGACTTCTCCACAGTTTGTGGCATACCTACTACAGAAAAGCTGGAACTTTTCACTCCCCACCTTTGAGCTCAGCCACTCAGTACCTGAATAAGAGAAGGCATCACTGGTGACTTAGTGACTCCGATTGCTGCATTGATAGTTTCCACAGCTGCCAGCATCTGGCAGAAATACATCATGTCAGCCACGGTGTGAAATGTGTCATAGAAGGACTCTATGGGCACAAATACACAGCAGGGGTAAATCAAATGGCAAATTCCAACAGAATCACTTGTCAAGCTAGATAACTCCTTACATAAAAGGAGCTTAAGAAAAGGTAATCAAAAGACAGATTCAAGCTTAATACCCAACTAAGTTGGAAGACAGCAGGTGCCTAAGATCCCAAGGGTAAACTCTATGAATTACCAGAAAGTTAACACAAAGTCCTTATATTTTTCTCATTTTCAAAGGGCGAGGTAAAAAAACATACCTGGGCTTCATTCCATTAACATACTGAACAGCTATGTGTGAGGAACAGAGATAGTTCTCTCCAGATCTGTGATCTCATTTAAAGTTAAAAGGGTATCACATATATTGAATGCATTCTAGCCTTTCATACTCTTAAAAACTGTAATTATAAATATGCAGGTGCAAAGTATTGCTGTATAAAATTAGGTTCTAAAGTCATTGCTGTATTTCTTTTTTATTTTCTTTTACTGTTGCCATTGAGGACATGAAGAGCAAAACACACACCAATTCCAAAGTTCCTACATGTGCAGGGTTGGCACAATCATTCTTACTCTCCTTTCTGAGTTGTCTCTCATTACCATAACTCACTGCCCTCTAAGGTTCCTATTAACCTTTCAATTGCTATTGTCAATTTGATTCCATATTGATAGCCTTAACAGACATTTTTATCTTTAGACCAAATGTTTCTTATTCTGAGAATCAATCCTAACTGAAAAACATAAAATAACAAAAAAAAGCTTCATAAACAAGGTTGGGTGGTCTCTGAGATTATTTGTGCATTAAAGTAGTAGCCTAACGATACAGAAAATTTGGGTACACAATGATATACCCAACTTAATGGAATGTTATTGTAAAAAGTGATGCACAGCAAACCCTCCAGCAGATTTTCAAAACCAGTAAATTGCACTGGAGGAGACCACTCATCTTTCTCTCACAGAGCAGCTGGTGGATTCTAACCACGCACCTTCGAGGTGCCAGCACAACTCCTTACCACTAGGCCACCAGAGCTCAAGTTAATGGACTAGCACATAAAAATTTAAAACTATAGTTATTCTTACTGACATCTGCAAGTATGGCATCAGTTCTGAGGGGACCACAAAATAATACCTTAGCATCTTCACTGTGATCCTCATTTTGAGATCCTATTTCTAGCATTCCTGGTTGTATTTCTGTAGGACTCCACTCACATTTTGTCTTTGTCTAGAACACTGAAGAACGTTTAGGATTTCTGCTTCCCTGTATACAAGCAGTGCCTCCAAATACTTGTAACAATCAAAAAACACGTTCAGATTAGGTTGTTTCCAAAAGCCCACTGGGATAAAACCATTGACTAAAAACCACTGGGCAAAGAAATCATTACGCTATGCTTCTCATTACATTCTCAGAAGTTCCATAAAGGAGCAAAGCTGACAGCTCCAAAATGATCACTAGTGCACCTCAACTTCTAAAATTGCTCTCCATTTCAATATCCCTCCTCACTTAACAAGGGGTCATCCTTCTGCACCATCAACAAACAGTGCAAACAGGATGAGCACACAATACAAAATTAAACTACAACTCTTTTTAAAAGTTGCAAGACATTCCTGAAATAAGCTGAAGCTGGAGAACTGTTTTCTTTAAAAACAAAGTAACTTATCAGTGAGGATCTATCTGGCAGTTAGGCCAGTTACCAACAAAAATGGAACCGTCAAAGTCTCAAGAAAATGGTTTAAATATGAGATAAATCAAAAGACCCCTGGGGTGGGGGGGAATGGAGAAATCTGACTAAGTAATTTCATCTTTTCACTATTTAGGTTAAGAAAGGTATGCACCAAGGTAACCAAGAATGTGTTGCTCTTATGGTCAGGATTATGGTTAAAGTGGGGGGTTTGGTTTGACCAAGATCTTTATTTTCTGAAATTAATACTTGTAATTTTTTTTATTTACTTAGAAATAAAAACGTGTTCCTTATTTGGAAGCAGGAGTGGCATTCACTTCCTAAGAACCTCTACGGCTTCAGACATTTTGTTCATAGAGTCGTTATGAGCCATGCTGGACTCAAAGGCACTCAACAACAATATTAGAGATCCAGATAATGGCCCGAAGTTCTTTGATAAGCCACCATGTTTGCTGCTGTTTTCCACTTAGTACAAGAAGACTGGCAAGTTTTTTTGCATGAAAAGACATGTGTAGAGTTTGCCATTTACCATGTGTTTCATTTACGAGAACACTGCAAAGAGCAAATTATGACAATAGGCGCCACGTCCCATGGTCTTATCACATCTTTGAAAACCACCAAGGGAAGAATTAAATGGGTACGAAGGAGCACAGCCAGGGATTACAGGTACAGGCAGCTCCCTTCAAATAGACATCAGGTAATTTGGTAGCTGGTAGATTTGATCACCTAATAGCCAACAGGCTTGGGCAGAACACTCAGGATCAACCCAACAGTGAGGTCAACAAAGCAAAGCAGTTAAGCCTTTGGATGTCACTTTTTTCACTTCCGGAACCTTGCTTCAGTGCTTGGCTGCTAACAAGAGGGGCTGCAGCCAGAAACTCTCAGCAGCTCCACAGGACGAAGAGGAACAATAGCGATTTTTCACCCACTCCTCAAACTGCCACTCAGCCCCTCAACTCAAGGAGCCGTTAACCTTTAATGCTGTCTTGGTTGGAGTATTTTTCAATACACAGATTGAAGTATTTATGTACTTAAATATACTGACACTTGTCCATTGTAAATTTTTCCCCCTAGCACTTTCAAGCTTTACAATGTCCTCTTTATATGGAATTTTTAAGTTAAGTGCTATGTTCTACTGCATTTTCTCTTTTTTAAATCTGTGACTCCCAATTTCATTGAAGGAATTTATTTGTGCCCACAGTGTGAACAGAAAAGCTAAATAGATTCCTTGCTTCCCTCATACTCCCCAAACGAGTTTTCCTTGAAAATATTAAATCTTCCATCTAACAAAAAATGATGAATATTTTCTTCTCCTCTCACTGCTCCTTTATCATACAAGTGATTCACACAGACATAAAGGAAGTGCTATTTTTGAACCCACTAATCTGCTTTGATGATCAGTCTATTTTGATGCTAATGCTCGATTAATTAATATTCTTTTCATTGTCAGGAAGAAAAAGTCCTTTCACTTTACGCTTTTTCCTCAAAATTTTATTAGCTATGCAGGAGTGGCATCCACTTCCTAAATAACATGCCTCCAGAAACTCTATGAACTTTGATAAATGTCAGTAGTTGTAAAGGGGCTTCAGGCCTTCTTCACAGGGTCAGTATGAGCTGTGCTCAACTCGAAGGTAATCAACAACAACATGCATCTAAAACCTCAAAAATCTTCCAGTGGCATTTAATTTGGGGAAAATTCCATGAAACATAAGTTAGGAAGAATTAGGATCTTTACGATAATCTTTTCATTCCCTTTTTGAATGTTGTTGTTATGTGCCATCGAGTCGCGTGCGACTCATCTGTTTCTGTCTTAAAATCTCCATAAGGAGGCATTAGAAAGGCTCCAAATGGGAGTAAAAAGGGAAACCCTAAGCCCTGTAAAACACTGGGACTGGAAATATCAGATCTGTTTATTTACGTATTACTCAATTATCCAAAAAGTAAACAGAGAAAGAAATGTTGGCCCATCATATGCCTCTTTCAAATGACTTCATGTGCAATTCTTGTTTGTAATTTCTTGCTTGCAATTTCTTGTCAAACAGCTCTTTATGTGTGGGCTTGGGCTATTATTCCTGTCTCTAAGGCCTGTTCCCTCACAGGTGAAACAGGAAGGCTAGCCATTCTACTTGTTTAACAAGACTACTGAAGATGAGAAGTGAAAGTATGATGAAAAACCTAAAGAGCTATGCAAATGCAGGCCATTTCCATGGATACTTATATAATGAAAATGAGCTCTGGAATTCCTTACTTGCCTTTTCCCAAGATAAAGAATCGCACAGTCAGGTTGACAAAGATCCAGGAGAATCCCAAGAACTGGACAAGATTATACATGAACAGGTATCCTTTCTTCATGCTTGCAAAAGCTGAAAAGCAAAGTAAGTGGGTGTTAACTACATAATCACAGCAGGAAAGGATTGTGTGGGACAGCCATGCCTCGATGACTTCATTCCTCTTTCCTAGTTGGATACACTAAGCTCCCACACAGAAATGCTGTGTTAAAGCTCCCACACAGAACCTCTGGTGGTGCTAACCAAAAGGTGGGCAGTTCAAACCCATGGGAGAATGGCAAGGCATTCTCCTTACTGCCATAAAAATGTACAGCCTTGAAACGCCCATGGGTCAGTTCTACTCTATCCTATAGTAACCAGTCAGTGAGTCAAAATGAACTTGATGACAATGGGAAGCCCCCATACAAAGAACTGATTTAAGTCTTCCACAATGTCAGTTCTTGGTTCTGTAAAGACACAGATATGAGGAAATTATGAGTGTTGCATTCCAACTATGTTTTCAGAGGTTTTCCTTGAAGAAAGATTGAGGAATGAAAAAATACATGTAACAAACCCAAGAAGGGAAAAACACAGTGACCATTTTTAGGTGGCCCTGCAGGCGGGAATGGAGCTCTGGTGGCCTAGTGGCAAGAAGCTGCTCTGCAATCCAGAAGGTGTGCGGTTTGAATCCACCAGCTGCTCTGCAGGAGAAGAATGGGTAATCTTCTCCCATGCAACTAAATGCCTCTGAATATCCACTGGAGGGTCAGCTATGGGTCGGTTCTGACTTGATGGTACACAATGAGAGTCAGCTATGGGTTGGTTCTGACTGGATGGTACACAACAGCAGCAGACAGGAAGTAAAGCTATCTATCCTTATCTTACTTAATACAATCTAGAGTTTATTCCGGAGGATTTTTTTTTTAAGGTCATGCAGGTCAAACCAACCCAGAGTTCTAAGTAATAATGAATATATGAATATTTGAACCCCTATTTATTCAATCAAGCACTCGTAACCGACCACTCACAATATGCAAGGTACAGGAGGGGGCACTATTAAGACGGTTACGATGATGCCATCTTCAAGGAGTTTTCTATCTAAAAAGCCAAAACATGTAATGAAGAGTTATATAGGTAACATGTTGTGAAAATCTCAGAGTAAGAAAATGGGATCAAGCTGGACAAGGAAAATCAGGCAAACGTGTGTGGAAAGATGCTATCAGATCTGAGCTTTGATAGAAGGCTAAGATAAAGGTGTAGGGCAATTTCAAACTCTGAGGCCCAAAACTAAGGGGCACTGGTTTTGTTGGCAACCTGAGGTTTATGAAGACACAGACAGCTGGAGAGTTAACAGGCAGGAATCAATGAAGGAAAGATATCAAGAAAGATTAAGCAGTCATGACTGAGGCCAAAGGAGTAAAGGAAAAGTGGCACTATGAAGCTCAGGTTCTGGTGCTACAGTCATTCTTAAACAACAGGTCATCAGGATTGGAGGAAGACTCATCAACAACCTGAGTTATGCAGATCACACAACTCTGCTTGCTGAAACTGAGGAGGACCTGAAGCTCTTGCTGCAGAAAGTCAAGGACTTTAGCCTTCAATATGGTTTGAAGCTCAACATCAAGAAAACAAAGATTCTCACCACTAGCAATATCATGATAGATGGTGAAGAGATTGAGATTGTTAACAGCTTTCTTTTCCTTGGCTCTACAGTCAACACCCTTGGTACCAGCAGCCAGGAAATCAAGAAATGAATTGCATTGGGAAAGTTTGCTGTCACATCTCCAGAGTACTGAAGAGCAACAATGTCAGTCTGGGACAAAGTTAAAACTTTGCAATTGCTTACTATGCATTAGAGAACTGGACAATGACTAGGGATGATAGAAAAATGATGCCTTTGAGCTGTGGTGCTGGAGAAGAGTTTTGAATATACCATGGACTGTTAGGAGAACAAACAGGTTTGTCCTAGAGAGGGTGAAGCCAGCCTGCTCCTTGGAGGCAAGGATTCTGAGGCTTCGTCTGAGATACACTGGGCATGTTGCAAGAGGGACCAGTCCTTGGAGAGGGACATCATGCTTGGAAGGGTGGAGGGACGGAGAAAGAGAGGGATACCATCGATGAGATGGACTGATACAGTGACTGGGGTAATGGGGGTAGATGTGTCAGAGACAATAAAGTTGGCACAGGATAAAACAGGTTTCAGGGCTGCTGAACACAGGGTCACTATGAGTAGCAAGTGACTCAATGGCACATAACAACAACAGGTTATCTTGCATAAACACTTCACTGACGTTTACTCACCCACTGCCATCAAACCATTTCTGGCTCATAGCAACCCTATAAAGACAGAGTAGAAATACTTCCTATGGTTTCCAAGGTGAAAACTGATTCGCTCATCAGCTTGTGAGTTCAAACTGCTGATTTGAGGGACTGGCAGTCAAGTGCTTCAACTACCGTGCCACAAGAGCTCCTCTGATATTTAAATAACCACATCTAATAATGTGATTAATCAAAAGCTGCTTTAGCTTAAAGGGCAGGGGAAATGTCAGACTTCCAGCAAGTGACTTTTTTTTTTTCAAAACTTTGTATTCTTTTTTCCCATCCAAAAGAGCTTCCATCATTAGAAAACATTATCAGTTTAGAGAAAATAGTTTTATCTACCATCCTAGAATCCCACGTATGAAAACTTTTCCTTATTTCTGAAGTCCAACCCTTTAAAATGCCAGAAGAGTCATTTAAATCTCAAGGTAGCTTTTCTGTTGTCCTTTTGCTTTCACTAATCCTCTCCCCACCTCTGCTTCTCTGAAAGAATAATCCTCTCAATTAATGGCTATTCAAATCTTTTTTTTTTTTTTTTTAAAAAAAAGCAATGAAAACCCTTTTCAAAAGAAATCTTATTCAGAACCGAATACATAAAACACAAAGGCGGAGCTGATCCAATTGAAGTGGGTCGGCTTGCCGGGCTTGCCGGCCTCGCCCCCGAAGCACCCCTGGGAGCCCTGAGGATACCATGGAAACCATTGCTCTAAAATCTCCCCTTCCTTCCTCAGGCCAGGCCAAACAAGTGCCGCTCAAACCTGGAGAAGTTCAATTTAGGGCAACTTCTGCTTTTCAGAGTTAGTGACATAGACCTGCATGGGTCCCCATGCAAGAATATAAGCTCTTGGAAGACAGGTCCTATGATGGATTCATCTGGCTCCACACATCACATGCCTACTACAGTGCTCTCTAGAGAGTGTGGGCGTAATAGACAGCTGCTGAATTTAATCTATGTTACCCAGAAGACAATGTGCCTTCAGAGTTCCTTGCTTATAAATGGCTGGACAAATAGAAATCGTTTTTTTACAAAGTGACTGAAAGAACAAAAAATCATTTAGGCTAACAATCACATCAATCTATGACACAGTCCTTGAGATCCACGTTCAGAGAAAAACATCAGGCTGGAAGGAGTGTAGTCTTGAACACATGGAATAATTTCCACATGTCTATTCAAGACACTGTACTCACGCAAAACTTCTACCTACAAACTGTTGGTGGAACAGCGCAAGGCAATACTGCACTGTTTGAAATCAAGAAAGGTGTGTATTGGAGTTGAATCCTTTCTCCACATATCTCTTCAATCTGTATGCTGAGTAAATCATTTGAGAAGGTAGACAGTATTAAGAAGAATGTGATACCAGGATCAGAGAAAGATTCATCAACAACCTACATTATGCAGATGACACAATCTTGCTTGCTGAAGGCTAGAAGGACTTGAAATACTTGTTGCAGAAGATCAAAGATTACAGTCTTCAATATGAATTACATTTCAACATCAAGAAACAAAAATCCTTACCAGTATATCATGACAGATAGAGAAAAGACTGAAGTTGTCAATGATTTCATCTTACTTAGATCCACAATCCCTTTGGTAGAAGCAGTCAAGAAATTAAAACACACACATATATGTAGAGAGAGAGAGAGCAAGAGAGCTCTCTGGTGGCCTAATGGCAAGGAGCTGTACTGCAATCCCAAAGGTTTGAGGCAATTAACTGCCTCAGAAAACCTGCCAGAGAGTTAGCTATGGGTCAGTTCCGACTCTACGGTACATAACAACAACAATTAACAACAATATAGAGCACTAGGAAAATTTAGCATCAAAGACCTCTGCAAAGTGCTAGAGAGCAACATTATCAGCTTAAGACTAAGGTGCACCTGATTCAAGCCATGCTCTGTCTTTACTTGTACTTGCTATACATCTGAAAGTTGGACAATAAATAAGGAAGACAGAAGAATGGATGCCTTTGAGCTGTGGTGTTTGAGAAGAGCACTGAATAACCTATGGATTCACAAAATAATAAATGTCTTAGAGAAAGTGCAACCAATCTGCTCTTTAGAGGCAAGTATGGTGAAACTTTGTTTCACATATTTTGGACATGTTTTGAGAGGGGCTATGACATACAGAAGGTAAAGAACTGCAATCTTCAAATATGGACTGCATCTCAACATCAAGAAAATAAAGGGAAATTGAAATAATTTGTTCGAATTTGTATTCGAGTTTTGTAAATAAACTAGTCAAAAAAGGAAGAAAAAAAAATAAATAAAATAAAGATCTTCACCACTAGGTCAATAGATAATATCATGACAGAAGGAGAAAGGATTGAGATTTTTTAAAATTTCAGCTTGCTTACATCCTAAATCAACACTCTTGGCACCAGCAGTCAGGAAATCAAAAGATTAATTACATTGTGAAAATCTGCTATCAAGGACCTCTCCATATACTGAAGATCAATGATGTCAGTCTAGAGACTAAGATGCACCTGATACAGGCCATGGTCTTCTCAGTTATTTGCTATGCATCTGAGAGCTGGACAACAACTAACAAGAACGGAATGACAATCAAAGCCTTTGAGCTGTTGTGCTGGCAAAGATAACTGAGCATACTATGGACCACCAAGAGAGGAAACAGGTCTGTCCTGGAGAGGGTGAAGTCAGGTTCCTCTTTGAAGGCAAGGATTTTGAAACTCCTCACATAATTTGGACATGTGGTCAGGAAAGAAAAGGACATTTTGCTTGGAAGGGTAGAGTCAACGCAGTAGAGGGTGACCCCAGATGAAATGGACTGACACAGTGACTATGGGCAGTGAGGATGACCCCGGGGTAGGGCAAGGTTCAGAGCTGTTGTTAGTAAGGTCGCAGAGTCAAAGTTGACTCAACAACACGTAACAACCCCTCCGCCTTGGAAAAAGACATCCTGGTTGGAAAGGTGGAGGGAGGGTCAGGGAAAGAGAGGAAGACCCTTAACAATGGACTCAAGTAAATCAAAGATGATGATGAGGATGTCACAGGATAGGGCAGTGCTCAGATTTGTTGTTCATACGGTCTCTATGAGATGTAGTCAACTCGATGGCAGCTCTGGTGGCCCAGCGGGTGAGGAGTTTGCTGCCAACCCAAAGTCATCCAGTTCAAATTCCTCAGCTGCTGTGTGGGAGAGAGATGGGTAGTCTCCCTGGAGGGTCAGCTGTGGGTCAGTTCAACCTCACTCAATGACAAATAAAAACAGCATTCAAGTCCAGAATGCCATTTGCCATGAGGCTAGCCAAGGAGACGAGGACCTTCCATTGTGCCACACCACCCTTCAAATGATGCCAGGCCCCAAACCAAAGGGAGGTGTCAAAGGTTTCTGATGTGGACAGGCATACTTTAAGCTCTAGTCATTAAGGCTTGCCCCTAAAATCAACTAAACCGTTTAATAAGTGAAATCATTAGTTCTGCCCCACCACAGGCATACCCCACCTCTATCATGGCAGCAGTGGAAACTTACTTTCAGGGGAGCCTTCTCTTTCCATTCTGAGTTTATTTAGGCGTTCTTCTTCCTACAATTTGAACAGTAAGTTAGAACTCCCAGGGACTTGCAAAACTTCACATGTTATGAAATATCACCTCAGTCATACTAAAGAGAAGTATTAACAGCATCAATAAGGCATCCTGATTGCATACTCCCTCAAAGCTACTGCCCTCCAATTTTATTTCAACATCAAAAATAAACCAAAGGTGCTCAGGGGCCAGAAAGCCTGGCTCCTGGTTACTGGGTAATAAATAAAGGATTACCCATCCCATGCTCAGAGACTTAACCCTAATAGGTGGCTTCCAAAATGTCAATCAAGCAGAAACATAACCAGAAGATTTGTCATAGCTGTAGCAACTAAACAGAAGTTTAGGTGGGAAATAAGTTGGTATTTTCTGTCCCAAGATTTTTAGATTTTTAATATATAACTTTTTCAGAAGCTAAATTTAGGACTCCAACATGAATACAAATTCATCATTTATCTCAACACAGATATAGGTGAATACATAGATATTTATAAATATACACATGGGTTAACATATACACATTCATTTCCTTGCCCTGTTAGCTGAGAAGGCCTAGACACAAGTGCAGCCCAGTAGCAATGAGAACCCTTAGTGCTCAGATCTTGGTCTCCAGTAACACAAGTAAGGTCCCTAATTCTAAGGCTGAGCCAGGAAATAAACAAGAACGAGGACCAGGAAGCAAGGAAGTGCTGTGGTGGAGGGTGAGGAGACTACAATATGGTAAAGGGGCACAGGCGTGAACTGAAAAAGCTCCTAGGGGCCAAAGCTCAAATCATGTGAGCAACAAATAACGTGGTATTGGATTATAACCTAAACTATAAACACCTATGATTCCACATTGATGTAAATGACTGAATGCATAAAGAAATGGGGGAAATGAGACAAATTTCTCATTGCAGAAGAATTTCAAATAAATTATGTAAATACTCCACCCTAAAGCTCTGGTGGTCTAGCGGTAAGAAGCTGTGCTGCAATCCCAAAGACACATGGTTCAAATCCACCAGCTGCTCCAGGGGAGACGCATGGGCAGCTCCTCCCGTGTGATTTACTGTCTCTGAAAACACGCTATGAGTCAGTTCCAACTTAACGGCACACAACAACAAAAGGACAGGGAGCAAAAGTCTCTACTCTTTTTTAGTGTAGGCTAAGCAAAGGAACTTCCCTCCAAAAAGCAGAGTAAGGAAAGTGGAGATTTCTGACAAACACCACCTCAGCCAGGTGACCAAGATTAATATCAACTGTGATAGAGGTCATGTGATAGCATGTGCCCTTGAAACGATAGGGTAAGAATGGCATTTTACCGCTGTGGTCTTCCTGCCAAGGACCAATCAACCAGCCCAATCATCATGAGAAAACATATTAGGTGAATTTCACCTGGGAGCACAGCCCACAAAATACCTGACCAGTATTTCTCCATGGCTACAGGTTTTTTAAATCAACTTGTAACTCTGCTTCTATCCCATCGGGCCTTAAGAAATCTCTCAGGTGGCGCTAATACCGTGGGCCCCTCTTGGTTTCTGCCTTCAAAGGCTGGATCCTAAAGTCCTTACTTACCTTGGCTCTGAGCTCCATTTCCGCATCAGACTCATCCAACCAGCGATCAAAGTCAGGGGCCAAAAACAGTGGGCGCTTCTCCTGCTTGGTGAGCCTCTCCCACCACTGGCTCGCCTTCTTCTGTACCGTTATATTTACCTGTCTCTGGGTCAGTTTGTGGACAGGCTAAGGAGAAAAAGTGAGACTGTGAGAATGTCTTCCTCCACTGCCCTACTCCTGAAGTGGCACAAAACCGGAGCAGCTACACGGAGAAGGAACGGAATATCATTAGTCCCCCTTCTTTATCACTATACATCCTGACGCTAGGAGAACATAAGTCTAGGGGCTAGTACAAGGAAGAACTGTTAAAACAGCACAGTTTTTCTGATTTCTTCCACTCAATGAATGACAAAGGAGAAATAAAGCAGCGAGCCCCTGGTTCCAGCAAGGGGAATAAGCATAAACCTCCTGCTAGGCCTCCTTCATGCAAAACACTATATTCAACCACCCTCTCAAGTGCACACCAGGCTTTAAAATTTTCCTCCCATGAAAATGACTGAATTCAATGATCAATGGTCCCTGGCAAAAGTAAATTGTTTTAGAAAGGCCTGTATCATAGTCAGAACTGAACAGCATCAGTTACAAACTTTACACAGTAGTGAGGCCTGGGAGTATTCCCAACTATATTCAAAATCAGGGAGCTCTGGTAGCCTAGTGGCAAGAGCTGCACTGCAATACTGAAGGCACGCGTGGTTCAAATCTACCAGATGGTCCACTGGAAAAGGAGGGGCAATCTCCTCCTGTGCCAGTCGGATCCTATTCAACAGTACACAAGGAAACAAAACAAAAACAAAAAACAACTATATACAAAATCACAGAGGCTGTTCCAGTTAACACCAGCTCATTATTCCTCTACATGGTCTCTTCCCTCTGCCTCTCTAGCAATCCCGTCACAGGTCCTCCGGAACCCATACAACTAATGTCTAGTAATGCTTTCCCAAAACCATCCCGGGCAGTGAGAGATCACTAAGCTCAAGCACCCAGAGCTACAAGTGTAATTTTAGAAACTGAAGTACACCATCTTTTAGGTCCTGTCCTCTTGTCAGAAAAAAAATTCCTTAGGCTGGAAGGGAAGAAAACACTCACTCACACCCCTGATATTCTTCCTTACAACCAGTCGCTCCAATCCTTTATCATTTTCCTTTTTCCTCTTTGCTTTTGTGGTAAAGCCTCCTAAAAGTAATGTGCTCAGGAGTTGTGTTAATAGTGGTGGAATGATTAGGAAAAGGACAGGAGAATGTGTGTGCTCTTTGAAGAACGGCATTGATGTTACTGAATTCCACACAGGGAACTGGTGAGATGGTGTGTTTTGTTAAGCATATTATTCCCATGTTTTACAATGTGATCCCCTGGCAAGGCTTCTCCTACCCTGGGTAACTCTGCTATCTGTTGGAACCTCACTCCTCTGCCACCAAGAAAACCAGAGAAGCAGAGCTGAGAGGGGCCCCAAAGATCACATAATCCGAGCTTTCGTTTAGCTTAGGAGAAAACTGGAAGTCAAAGAAGTGAACAGACTTAGGCAAGTGCATGCTGCTAGTAAATGACAGAGCACAGATTCATCTCAGGTTCCCCAACTTGTCCCATTTCTCAGCAGCTAAATATTGAGCTCTAGTCCAACTAAAAGACCCACAGAGTTCCTGCTCATGGTTTTTGTTCAGCTTTCTTTAAACTGTACTTATTGTTGAGAAAATACACAGCGAAACATACACACCAATGCAACGGTGTCTAGACATCCAAGTTAGTGACCATGGCCTTCCTTTTCTGAGTTGTTCCTTCCTCTTTAGAATAAACTCACTGGCCCTTAAGATTCCTATCTAAATCTTTGCAGTTGCTGTTGTCATTTTGATGCCATAGAGTTTTCAAAAGATCATAATGCTCAAAGAAGAGCTTTCTTTTTACTAGTTAAACCACTGTTTGGCTTTAAAATTACTTCAGGGGATTTGTTTGGTTTAAGATTTAAAGATTATCTCAAAGCAATAGTTTCAGGGGTTCATTCACTCTCCATGGTTTCAGAAAGTCTAGTTGTATACCACTGGGTTGGAACCAACTTATTAACTGATCCTCCAGAAGGATTTCAGAGGCTGTAAATCACACAGGAGGAGACTGTCCATCTTTCCCTCATGATGCATCTGGTAGATTCAAACTGTGTGCCATTGGGGTGGCAGAGCAACTTCTTAAGATTAAGCCAGCAGAGTTTCCTTCGGAATCTAGCGTCCATAAAACTTGGAAATTCTGTTTTACGTTTTCTCCCTTTTGTTCAGGATTCATCTATGGAATCTTTGATCCAAATGCTCCATAATGGTAGCCAGGGACCACCTAGTTCTTCTAGTTTCATGCAAAGGAGGCATCGTTAATGGAAGCAATTAGCCACACATTTTCTATCCTCCTATTCCTGACTCTGCTTTTTCCTTAGTTGTCCCAAGTGAATACAGACCAAATATCATGCCTTGAGTAGCCACTTGCAAGCTTTTAAAACCCCAGGCTCCATGCAACAAACAAGGACGTAGCACAGAGGCTTTAAACACATAATTAGAGCAATTAATTAAGATGGTCCATGAAATCATGACCCCAAACCTCCCAATCAAGGAAACAAATCCCTTAAGTTGTTGAGCTATACATAAGTAGCCTCAGCAGCTACTTTTTTTCTTTTTTCACTACAATAAATACATCTTTCTCTCAACAATGGTAATTTAACTTTTGACCCAAACATTATTCTAGGTGGTATAGCACTGGTCTGTGCATTGCTGCACAAAGGTAACTCGTGGTTGCTGTGATGCTGAACACTGTGACATTGACGTGCCAAATGTGATAATGGTTATCCATGGCAGACAGTGTTTGCTGGAGCTTCCCGATTACAACAAGCCTGGGAGCAGGAGAGGCATCTACTTCTGAAATGGCTTGCCTCCAGAAACTCTATGAACAGTGCTCAGGCCTTTCTTTCATAGGGTCGCTATGAGTCATCTATGACTCGACGGCAGCTAACAACAACAGCAGCATATACAACTTACTGACAGCAATTAAAATAATCAGCTGTGCAACCCTACCCTGAATCAATGAGATCTCTCCATCACTGCTAATTGCCCTTCCTCCTCTCCTTCCGGCCCCAGCTAACCATTAATAAATTGGGTCCCTCTACATTTGTCTTTTCTTCTGTTAGGAAAGTGAGGTCTGGTGACTTAGTGGGTAAGGGGTTCAATGCCAACCGAAAGGCACACGGTTTGAATGCACCAAATGTTTCTCAGGAGAAAGGCAATCTGTCCCAAGTATTTACAGCCTCTGACATCTCACTGGAGAGTCAGTTATGAGTTGGTTCCACCTCAGCAGCACATAACAACAGCATGTGTAAGTGAGGTCATACAATTTTACTTAATTTCACTTATTTTGCTCAACATAACATTTTCAAGTTCCATCCATATTATAGTATATAACAAGACTGTACATATCCCATAGCATGTATGTAATGCCTTTTGTTCACTCATTCATCTGTCAATGGGCATTTATGTTTTTTCTGCCTTTTGGCTACTGTGAATAGTTCTGCCCTTTAACACTGGTATACAAGCCTTTTTAGCTTTTTTCTTAAGTCTGTTTTCCAGTCTTTGAGAGAGAGAGATGATAGAGAGAGAGAGATACATGGATGGACAGATAGTTATAGAGATAGATAAATACACACACATATGCACACCTAGAGGTAGAATATTAAATAGAAAAGGTATGGAGATAGGACACATCCCTGGCAAATACCCCTCCTAATTTTAAACCATGCAGTGTTTCCTTGCTCTGTTCTGCCAACAGCTTCCTGGTCAAAGTATAGGTTTCACATAAGCACAATCAAGTGTTTGGGGATTCCCATTCTAAGAGTTAGCCACAGTTTGTTGTGATCCATACAATCAAAAATGCCTTTGTATAGTCAATGAAACCCAGACAGACATTCCTCTGGTGCTCTCTGCTTTCAGCTAAGATCCATCTAACATTAACTATAATAACCCTAGTTATGATCTTTTCTAAACCCAGCCTGAACACCTGGCAGTTCTCTATTGAAGTGCTGCTCTAGTCATTTTTTGGATCATTTTCAGCAGAAACTTGCATGCATGTGATTATTAATGATACTGTTCAATAATTTCCACTCTCTACTGGGTCACCTTTCTTTGGAATGGGAACAAATAGGGATCTTTTCCAGGCGGTTGGCCAGGTGGTTGTCCTCCAGATTTCTGGGCACAACCTGGTGAGCACATTCAGGGTCTGTTTTCATCAATTGGTATGCCACTAATTTCTGGGCCTTAATTTTTGCCAATTCCTTCAAAGCAGCTTGAACTTCTTCATCACCACAGGTCATAAGTTGTTTCATACAATTCTTCTGTGTCAGTCAACAGTTTCTGGTACAGTGACTCTGCATGATTCTTCCATCTTCTTTTAATGCTTCCTGGATCATTTAATATTCTCCCCAAATCATCCTTAAGTACTGTAACTCAGGACTTGAACTGGTTCTTCAGTTCTTTCAGCTTAAGAAATGTCAAAAAAAGCTGATCCATTTTTGGGGAGCTCTGGTGGCCTAGTGGTAAGAACGTGCACTGCAATCCCAGAGGCGCACGGTTCGTATCCACCAGATGCTCTGCCGGGGAAGGAGGGACAATCTCCTCCTATACCAGTCAGATCTGATTTGACGGTACACACACACACACACAAACACACACACACTTAAAAAATAAATAAAATTTAAAAAAAAAAGAAATGTCGAGCAAGGCTGGGCTCTATGAGGTTGAATGTAACATCAGGATTGGAGAAAGATGCATCAACAACCTGAGTTATGTGGATGATACAAATTTGCTTGCTAAATCTGAGGAGGACCTGAAGCACTTGCTGCAGAAGGTCAAGGACTGCAGCTTTCAATATGGATTGAAGCTCAACATCAAGAAAACAAAAGATTCTCACCACTGAGCCAATTGGCAGCATCATGATAGACGGTGAAGAGATTGAGACTGTTAATAGCTTTAAGTTTGCTTGGCTCCACAATCAACACTCTTGGTACCAGCAACCAGGAAATCAAAAGATGAACTGCATTGGGAAAGTTTGCTGTCAAGGACGTCTCCAAAGTACTGAAGATCAACAATGTCAGTCTGAAAACTAAGGTTCTCCTGATCCATACCATGGTTTTCACAATTACATACTATGCCTCAGAAAGCAGTGACTAGGGATGACAGAAGGAGAATTGATGCCTTTGAGCTGTGGTGCTGAAGAAGTGTATTGAGTATACCATGGACCACTAGGAGAACAAACAGGTTTGTCCTGGAGAGAGTGAAACCAGACTGATCCTTAGAGGCAAGAATTATGAAGCTCCGTCTTACATACTTTGGGCATGTTGCAAGGAAGGACCAGTTCTTGGAGAGGGACATTATGCTTGGAAGGGTGGAGGGACAGCACAAGAGAGGAAGACCCTGGATAAGATGGATTGACTCAGTGACTAGGGTGATGGGGGTAGGTGTGTCAGAGACAATAAGGTTGGCTCAGGATAGAGAAGGAATTCAGAGTTGTTGTACATTGAGGGTCGCTATGAGTCACAGGCGACTCGATGGCACATAACAACAACAGAGGTAGAATGGCTGGATCATACAATAGTTTTATTTTTTGTTTTTTTGAGGCACTGCCACACTATTTTTCATAGTAGCTGGACTATTTGCATTCCAATAAACAATAGACAATGGTTTCAATTATTCCACATTCCAACCAACACTTGTCATTTCTTGCTTTTTAAATTCGTAGCCATCCTTCTTATTCCTATTGTTGTGTACCCATCAAGTTAGAACCAACCCATAGCTGACTCTCCAATGGGTCTGTTACACTAGAGGAGATTCTCATCTTTTTTCTACAGAGCAGCTGGTGGATGTGAACTGCTTGGCTTCAGGATGGCAGCACAGGTTCTTACCACGAGACACCAGAGTTCCCTAGTCATTCCAGTGGGAGTGTAATATTATCTCCTTGTGGGAACTCTAATGGCCTAGTGGTAAGAAGCTGCACTGCAATCCCAAAGGCACATAGTTCAAATCCACCACCTGCTCCACAGCTAAAGGATGGAAAATCTCCTCCCATTCAATTTACTGTCTCTGAAAACCCTCTGGAGGGTCAGCTATGGGTCAGTTCTGACTCAACAGTACACAACAACCTTAACAGCCAGTAAGGGAGCTCTGAAGGCCTAGTGGTAAGCAGCAGTGCTGCAATACCAAAGGCATGTGGTTCAAATCCACCAGCTGTTCCAAAGGATAAAGCCAAGCAGTCTACTCCCATGTGATCAACTGTCTCTGAAAACTCACCGGAGGATCTGCTATGGGTCAGGTCTGACTCAATGGTACACAACAATGCCTAGTAAGGCTAAGCATTGTTTTTATGTCTATGATCCCCTTGTTCTTATCTCCTTTTTTCCCCACAATCCTGCTCCCTACACCATCAACCTCTTAGTAATTATTTCCTAAAGTGAGAAATAAATAAATGAGGAAGCAAAGAACATACCTCTGGTTTCACAGGGTCTAAGAACTCCAGGTGAAATTCATAGACATTATCTCCTTTGGCACCATGTCCCTGAGCTGTAAAGAAAGAAACGGAGATGACTATGGACTTGAGCAGAGCAGGCTCATCCAAGAGACAGCCTGGTGCAGTTTTTCAAAGTATGAAAAGATTATCGGACTCTGCCAAAATGAGTAGGGATTTGTGAACTGAGCTCCTGAAAAGCCAGATAAGCTGAACCCCAGGCTAAAAGTCTATTTCCTTCTAAGTCCTTCAGGCTAGTTCCAGGTATTACTTAATCTTCCAGTGTGACCTTCATAATACCTAGTACAAATACAGGGCAAGAGGAAGACAACAGTAAATTTACGGGTCACATTTACCTTGGCTCTGACTCTAGAGGAAAGGAAAATCAGGTAGGAGTATTATTTCAATTGCAGCTAGTGAAGGAAAGTTGCAGGGCACATGGAAATGCTGCACTGTCTCAAGGAAAGCTCTGAGTTCCAAACTTCCCAACCATGGTCAAAAAATGAAGGGAAGACACTGGCTTCTCCTTTAGCTTGCTCCAAACAGAATAAGGAGAAATAAGTTCTATCTCCACTCTTTCCCTAAGAGAGGCCAAATACAACTAGGAAGAGAGGCCCCAGACTGGCCATTACTCTATGCCTATACTTTGGCATGGCTGCTGTGCTCCCCCCAAATCAAGTGAGCATTCTGCCTAGGTGCCAGTGACTGTTGAGCCAGCAGAGATGCCAGACATTTCTCCTTCCGATATCCTGATCGGCCTGTCTCCTAAGTCTCTCCTGGGAGTCTCTTCATCCGCTGACCATATCTGGTAGAACTTGTCTAATATCTGCTACTGGAGGCCATTCTTCATTTTCTTAGTCTGTAAATTCCTTAAGGTAGGACATGCTCTAAGCTCCAAGTTGCAAAGTTTCCTTTGATCATTTTAATGCCCCTGCCAATGCATTTAGCCCATAAAATACCTCATCTGTTACCACCAGTACCCTGCATCTTGAAAAGGCTATCTTTTCAGACTGAGCTTCATGCAAGTATATCCCTAACTCCAACCACTTAATGACATTCCAAGGAACTGGAACAGAAAGAGAATAGGGAAAATCACATCCTATGTGAATGAATTCACTCACTGATTCATTCATTCACTCAATGAATCCAGACCTATCCCCACAGCCAGAGCTGTAAATATGTTGATGAACTGAGAAAAAAAGATGGAGACAAATTCATAGAATCAAGGTAATATTAGAGTTAGACCTGAGGGAACATCAAGAGAACAAAGTATTTCTCAAATTGGTCTGCAAGTGTAGTATCAGGAAGCTACAAAGTCTCATCATGAGTATTTCTATTTTGTGTTTTCATTATAATATTTAAAAAAGAGAAAGAGAACATTCTGGATCATTTAGAAGGCTACCTTACAATCAAGTTCTTTCACACAAGTTAGTGACCATGTTTGCATCTATATTCACAGTGAAATCAAGGATGACATGAAGGGACCATCTCTATTTCTTAACAAAACATTTTTCAATCTAGGTCCCATGGACCCTTGTAAAAAGAGCAAGGGCCACAAGGGGACTGCTATATCTGACCTTTGGCTTCACAAAGGGCAACTGTTCCTGTCAAAAGCATCAACAACACAAAACCAATTCCCATGAGGTCAGACATGTCCCCATGTTCTCATACCTCTTTCTACCCATCTCACCACCAATCTTACCACTTTACTGGGTCCAATATTTGATGTGATAGCTCACAGACTACACTGAGCCATACTAGGGAAGACAAAGTCTACATAATCCAGGTTAATAGCAGAATACAATCACTTAATCAGGACAGCTTACGAAATGTGCTCCCAGGCACCTTAGCTTTGAGCCTCATAGGTTTAGGCCAGTGTTACAAAGTTCTCAGTCCTGTCAATATTGGCTCCCCCTACCCTCTCCTCCACTCACGTGTCCAACAAACTTGGGCAAAGGCTCTTAGCTTAGCTCTGGTTCTATCTGTAAGGGGAAGCATTCCTAAAGTAGTTCTATCTCATGTTGTTCTCAGTTTCGGCCATGGCTACTGTTGCCATAGGCATACCCAGAGCAAGAATTTCTGAGCCAGAAGAAACTGTTACATTCTCTTCCTCCTTCTTCACTGGTGAAAAAGATCTAATTCTGTTGCTGGATTACTCAATTTAATGGTGAGACTAGCCAATCCCTTTGTAGATTGGTGAGACTAATCAAACCCCCTGTGGAATAGTGGATAGCCAATTCCCTCAAGAATAGGTTAGCACGCCCTATTTGCATATTCCCACACATTCACATAACAAAGTCAAGTTCAATGGCTAGGAAAGCAATTCTGAATAATAAATGCCACAAACCTTGAGAGACCTACAGACATACTCTCTAAGTGTCCAAGGACCTCAATTCAGAAAAATACTGATAGAATCCAACATTCCCATTTCATAGGGCCACCAAACCATTTCATAGGGCCACCAAAGTGATTAATTTATCCAAAGTGGTGGCAGAGTTGGAGCAAGAGACAGATCACCGAATTTCTAGCTCAGGACTTATTCTTTCTCACTATGTCTATAGAATCTCCAAAGGGAAAGCAGGGTTTCAAATAAATTCTTTGACTTTTCTAATAATATGTCACATCAATCCAGTTTACGTCAAAATAAAATAATCAAGGTGAGCATGAATAAAGAAAAAAGGAAAACCGAGGGGGGAAAAAAGCCCAGATACTAACCTTTGAAATGCAGCACATTTTCGGTGATGCTGATGGCAGGATTCTGTGAAAAGACACCAATGATATGAGAAATAAAATAACATTAAAACCAGGTCATGTCTCCCCCTCTCCCTTCTTTGAGGTATGACCTCCTACCTTATGTCCCCCAACAAAGAACATATTTAGTTGTTTATTCATCGTTTGTGCAAGGTGGTTCTACACCTTTCTGTAGTGCTTAGCCATTGTAAGCTTCTGTAAGAAGTAATCTACCCTGTTCTGACAGTACAGAAAAATGAGGATTGTTGAATCAGTCCTTTCTATAATTGTGATTCATGTAAGGTGCTACATGGGGCATAATGGGGAAATATAAACATCTCTACACTCTTTGTCCTTCTAAGACTTGATGTCCCTGAACTCTGGAGGCAGAGAATCTAAGTGGAAAAGCTGAGTCATTTTTTGTGAGAAGACATCCAATAATATGCTCAATATCCAAAGAGTAGTAATGGCAACATATGTTCAATACCAGAAGAGTAGTAAAAAGTAAATGTTACAGGAATTAAAAGAGAGAACAAAATGGCTAAGGAAAGCTTCACAAAAAGCACTACACAATTTAATGCAATCCCAAAACAGATAGCAATATCAGACCTCAAGTAGATGGAAAAGGCAACTACTCCAACTCTTATTTGAAAAGAAAAGGGACCTGCTGACTAAACAAGGAGAGTCGGTAGAGAAGGGGCTTCGTCTCCGCAGAGGGGAACCGAGTACCCAGGAGCTACGACTCTCACAGCCCCTCCAGGTTCTTAGCACTTCAGCTATAAAAATGGGCAGAATTTTCCTTGACCATATTGGTGGTACTCGACTGTTTTCATGTGCAAATAGTGATACGATCCTGACCAACCGCTCAGAACTCATCTCTATCCGTTTCACTGGCCGAGCATTTCTTTTTAACAAGGTAGTCAACCTGCAGTACAGTGAAGTTCAAGATTGGGTCATGCTCATTGGCCGCCACATGGTTCGAGATGTGAGCTGCAAAAACTGCAATAGCAAACTGAGATGGTTCTATGAGTTTGCCACTGAAGACAGCCAGCGTTATAAGGAAGGTTGTGTGATCCTGGAACGTGCCCTAGTCCGAGAGAGTGAAGGTTTTGAGGAGCACATACCCTCTGATAACTCTTGAAGAGAATGAGATAAATACCATCTTTTCCAAGGTCTCCTTCACTGAAAACAAAAATCTACTTACATACACTGTCACCTTAGCATCAGAGTTGGATTCATGAACTGCGGAACAAGAGGTTGTGAGAATCTAAGATGGAACTTTTTTTTCTTCTTCCTTTTTCCCTCCCTCCCCGCCTTTTTTTAAATTTTCCATCCAGCAGCAGTGTGTAGAGAGAATATTATGCAGATGCTGTTACTTTTTTTTTCCCTGTGTTTACATCTTGAGGCAGAATAGTCTTATCTGCAGCTACATAGTGGGCTAAGTGAGGGGGAAAATATCTGGGCTTAATGGAGTGAAAAAACAGTGTTTGTAAATTTTGAAAGGAAAATATGTCAAGAGCATGGTTTTTAAAATTATTTGGGCTTCGTTTTAAAACTTTTTTAAAAAAAAAACACCCCTGTTAGGGGAGCTCTGGTGGCCTAGTGGCAAGAAGCTGCACTGCAATCCCAGAGATACGTGGTTAAATCCACCAGATGCTCTGCCGGAAAAAGGAGAGGCAATCTCCTCCTGTACCTGTCAGATCTGATTTGACGGTACAGACACACACAAAATAATAAAATTAAATAAAAAAAAAAAAACAAAAAAACACCCCTGTTATTTCACCTGATTTGCTAGCTTCCGAGAAGAGATTCGAATTTGTGTGCAGCGCTAAAGGTCCAGTGCTAGGAGGGCTTGCGCTGGCCCTCGTGCCATATTCTTCTTGGAGATGAACCACAGCACCAGAGCCCATTCTTGTCAGTCTTGACCCAAAGATGTTACCTTTCCTAATGATTTGTCACCACATCCTTGATGCTCGTTGGAAAGGTTTTCTGGAGCGGGACAAAACTGCTTGGTTGTCTTTCTTTCCCATGTAACTTAAGCATAGTAATATAAATAAAGTGATAGTTGGATGTTAAAAAAAAAAAAGGAAAGGGACCTCACATAAGCAAAGCTCTACTGAGAAAGAAAAACAAAGTAGGAGGCAACACATTCCCTGAATCAAAATCTACTACAAAGCCATAGTAATCAAAACACTATGGTACAGTGACAGACACACAGATCAACAGAGCAGAATCAAGAAGGCAGACATCAACTCTCACCCACTTTTCACAAACCAGCCATCTTAGACAAGGACATGAAATCCATTAAGTGAGGAAACAACAGCCTCTTTAGCAAATAGTGCTGACCAAACTGGATATATACCTCAGAAAACTGCAACAAGATCCACATCTCATACTATACACAAGAAAACATCTCAAGGTGGATCAGGGACCTAGGAGCAAAATAAAAAACTATAAAGATCATCAGAGGAAAAATACGAACAAATTTAGAAGCCTTAATCTACAGAATGGAGAACCTTTCAAATATAGCTAAAAATGTGCAACCAGGAGAGGATAAAATAGATAGGACCTTCTAGAAACTCCAAATATGTATACATTAAAAAAAAATTCTCTAAGAATAAAATAGATAAATGGGACCTTCTAAGAATCAAATCTCTATAAAACTTCTCCAACAGAGAACAAAGTAAACTCACAGACTGAGGAAAAAAATGTTTGGCAATAACCTGTCTAATAAGGGACTCTTATCTAGAATGTATAGAATACTCCAGCACCTCAACGAGAAAAAAGTAAAAGACTCAACTGCAAAATGGGTACAGAATATGAATACTTCTCCAAAGAAGAAATTCAGATGGCAAACAAACTCATGAAGAAATGTTCACAATCCCTAGATATTAGAGATATGGAAATCAAAGCAACTATGAGATATCTCATTGCAGCAACAATATCAAAGTTCAACAGGGCAGAAAACAACAAATGCTGGCAAGATGTGGAGAGACTGAAACTCTTATTCACTGCCAATGAGAATGTAAAATGGTGGAATCACTTTGGAAGGTGGTCTGGCGCTTTCTCAAAAAGCTGGAAACAGACCTTTTGACCCAGCAATTCCACTACTGAGTCATGACTCAAACAGATGTATGCAAAACCACATTTATTGCTACATTATACACAACAGCAATGAGATAGAAGCAATTCAAATGGTCATAAACAACCAAACAGCTAGAAAAACTATGTTACATTCACACAATGAAATATTTAACAGTATTAATAAACAATGAACTGGGTATTTTCCCTTTTTTTAAAACAATAAACTCCTAAAACATTTATACAACATGTAAAAACCTGAAAGACATTACGCTGAATGAAATATCTCAGTCACAAAAGGTCAAATATTGCATACTGCATAACACTGCATAACATAATAGGACTGACAGGGAACTCTGACAGCACAGTGGCAAGAAGCTGCACTGCAATCCCAAAGGCAAACAGTTCAAATCCACCAGATGCTCCACTGGAGAAGAAGGGGCAATCTCCTCCTGTACCAGCTGGATCCAGTTTGACAGTAAACACACACACACACACACACACACATACACACTTAAAAACACAAAAATAAATATAGAACTGACAATGGAGGTTGTGGAGAAAAGAGGAAAAGAGTGGATGAATAATGAACACTACCCTGGAACAGATGAGGGGAAGAACTATCTGAAAAGAGCATATGATTGTTGTTGTTTTATGCTGCTGAATCGCCTGCAACTCATAGCAACCCTATGTACAACAGCCCTAAACCCTGCTCTATCTCTTGCTACTTCAGTGACCAAATCAATCCATCTCATTGAGGGTCTTCCTCTCCTGCACTGTCCATCCATCCTCCCAAGCATAACGTCCCTCTCCAAGGACTAATCCCACCTTGCAACAAAGATTCAGAATCTTTGCATCCAAGGAGCAGCTTGGCTTCACCCTCTCTAGAATGAACTTGTCTGTTCTCCTAGCAGTCCATGGTATATTCAATACTTTTCTCCAGTATCAAAGCTCAAAGGCATCAATTCTCCTTCTATCATTCATAGTCACTGTCCAGCTCTCTGATACATAGCAAGTAATTGCAAAGACCATGGCCTGTATCAGGTGCACCTTAGTCTCGAGACTGACATTATTGCTCTTCAGTACTTTGGAGAGGTCTCTGACAGCAGACTTTCCCAATGCAATTTGTATTTTAATTTCCTGGCTGCTGGCACCAAGAGTATTGATTGTAGAGCCAAGCAAATGGAAGTTGTCAACAATCTCAATCTCTTCAACATCTATCATGATGCTGCCAATCGCCCCAGTGGTAAGAATCTTTGTTTTCTTGATGTTGAACTTTAATCCATATTGAAAGCTACAATCCTTGACCTTGAGCAACAAGAGCTTCAGGTCCTCCTCAGTTTCAGCAAGCAGGGTTGTGTCATCTGCATAACACAGATTGTTGATGAGTCTACCTCCAATCCTGATGCCACAGTTCTCCTCATAGAGCCGAGGCTCCCGGATAATCTGTTCTGCATATCGATTGAAAAGATATGGAGATAGGACACATCCTTGATGCACACCCTTCCCAATTTTGAACCGTGTAGTATTTCCTTGCTCTGCTCTGACAACAGCCTCCTGGTCCAAGTATAGGTTTCACATAATCACAATCAAGTGTTCTGGAATTCACATGCTTCTCGGAGTCGGACAGGTTTGTTGTGATCCACAGTCAAATGTCTTTGCATAATCAATGAAACACAGACAGATGTTTCTCTGGTACTCTCTGCTTTCAGCCAAGATCCATCTGACATTAGCCGTAATATCCCTAATGTCACGGCCTCTTCTAAATCCAGCCTGCACTTCAGGAAGTTCTCTGTTGATGTGCTGCTCAAGTCATTTTTGGATGATCTTCAGCAGAATCTTGCTTGCATGTGATAGCAATGATACTGTTTGATAATTTCCATACTCTGTCGGATCATCTTTCTTTGGAATGGGAACAAATACAGATCTCTTCCAGTCAGTTGGCCAGGTGGTTGTCCTCCAGATTTCTTGGCACAACTTGTTGAGCACACCCAGGGCAGCGTCTGTTTGATGAAATATGTCACACGGTATGACATTAATTCCTGGGGCCTTGATTTTTGCCAATTCTTTCAGAGCAGCTTGAACTTCTTCTTTCATCACCACAGGCTCTCGCTCATACATTGTTTCATGAAATTCTTCTATGTCTGCCAATTCCTTTTGGTACAATGACTCTGTATACTCTTTTCATCTTCTTTTAATGCTTCCTGCATCATTTAATATTCTGCCCAAAGCATCCTTAAGTATTGCAACTCGAGATTTGAATTTGTTCTTCAGTCCCTTCAGCTTAAGAAATGCTGAGTGATTATGGCACTTTTGATTTTCTGACTCCAGTTCCTTGCACAATTTACTTGTCTTTCTGCGCTACCCTCTGAATCTTCTGTTCAACTCTTTAATATCTTGATTTCTTCTCTTTGCTTTGGCTTCTCGGCACTCCAAAGCAATATTTAGAGTTTCTTCTGACATCCATCTTGATCTTTTCTTCTTTCTCTGTCTTTGTAATAACCTTTTGCATTCTTCCTGGATGATATTCTAGATATCCTCCCATAGCTCATCCAGTCTTCACTCATTAATGTCCAAGACCTCAAAGCTTTATCTATGACAACATGTGCATTGTAAAGTGGACTGGGGATGGGGGAAGGGAGAAGGAGAGAGGAAAATGTACAATAATGAATGAATGAAACCCAAGCCTTTCTGTAAACTTTCATTAAAATCACAATAATTTTTTTTTTAAAACCCCAACCTCCTGTAAAAAGTTCACACACTGGCAAAAATATTTGGCAAAGATATATATGATAAGGGACTCATAGCTACAATGTATAGAAAACCCTAGCACCTTAACAAGAAAAAGTCAAACAACTCAATTACAAAATAAGTAGAATATACAAAAAGACACAACACCAAAAACACTCAACAAGCACATGAAAAAAATGCTCAAGATCACTAGCCATTGCTGTTGTTATTAGGTAGCATCAAGTTGACTATGCTTCATAGTGAACTCTACAAATAATGGATCTGGATCCTGTCCTATCCTGTACCATCGCATGGTCTCTAACATGATGG